CTGTTCCCTCAGCCCAAGGCCTCCCCATGTGACCCTGCCTACCTCTCAACCCCGTCCTCGCACAGGGCTGGCTTCGCGGGCAGGCCACGTCTACAGTCACACAGGGTCCCATGATTGCTTCTTACTCAGCTCTCACCGTCTGGAAATTCTTAATGACTTTTGAACAAGGGCCTGACTTCTCATTTTGCACTGGGCCCCACACGTTCTGTCCTGACCTCCCCTCCTCTGTGCTGTTTGCCACACTCCAGCCCTCTTGTCTCTGGAACACCCAAGCTTCTTTCTTCTCAGGGGTGGCTGTTTTCCCGGCTCTTTGCAGGATGCCGCCTTCTCAGCAAGGGGGCCTCAGAGAGGACTCCCGCCCTCACTCCCCTCCACTGCCACCATCACCCCCTCCTTCCCTTTAAACTGCCTTCTTCACCGGAGGCGTGAGGGTCCTCCCACCACCCTCCAGGCTCCCCTGTCCCTTTTACACCAGGGCCCCCACGCTTCCGACAGTGCCTGGCGCAGAGCGAGTGCCTGATATGTGTGTGCTATTGTGTTCATTGCATATGTTTGTGATAAGCGAAGAGCATAAAGCAACCATCCCATTCCAGAACTCAGATGCTGTTTGTGGCTTGGAGGAAGTAACGAGGGGAGATAAAAAGTGTTGTCCACAGAAAGAGTTAACTGCTCTGAGAGTTTGATTGGGGACAGGGATCATCTGAAGGAGAGAAAATGAGTACAACTGTCCCTTTGGTGGTGCCGGCACTGGCTTCTGCAAAGAGGCGACTAATTGAATATTCTGAGGATTCAGTGAAGAGCTCTGAGGCTTTAATAAGATGAGGAACTGAGGTAAAGGACAATGCCCAGAAGAAGAGCACCTTACACACACACACACACAAACGTGTACACACATGCATACATGTATACACATAGACACGTATGTGCACACATGCAGATACACATGCACACATGCATGCACACATACCCATACACAGTCACACACATGTATACACATAGACACACAAATATATGCACACACATACATGTGCATACCACACATGCACACATACATACATGTATACACAGACGTGCACACATGCAGAAACCCATGCACACATGCATGCACACACAGCCATACATAGTCACACACGTGCATACATGTATACACATAGACACACATATGTGCACACATGCATGCACACATACCCATACACAGTCACATGCATGCATACATGTATACACATAGGCACACATATGTGCACACGTGCAAATACATGTACACACATACATGCACACACACACACAGAGTCTAAGGCAGTGTCCTTCTCTTCTGAGCAGCTGTGAGTTCTCTGCAGGCAGCTGGGAGGTGGCCTCAGCCCCAGATTCAGAGGTATGACTGGCTCTGAGGGCAGTGGCGGGCAGGCCTGGTGGAGGTCCCCTTTCCTCCCCAGAAGCCCCAGGCCCGGCCTCCTCACCCTCAGATCCACCAGCTCCTGGCTGAGAAGGAGGCTGGGATCCCGATGGCCCAGGGCTTTCCAGCTTGCCCCAGGTGGCCCAAGAGGCTCCTTTGAGATCTGGGGGAGCTCCAAGGCCCATCTCAGTGCTCCAGGCTCTTCTAGAGAAGATCTACATCGGAGTTTAGGTTTGAAGACGTAAAATTCCCGTCTCCCCTGAACAGGAGCCTCAGAGAGACAGCCTTACCCCTCAAAGAGAGGCTGGAGGAGCAGATCAAGGCCGATCTTCCAGGATTGGAGCCTAAAATCATCCCATAGCCCAGACGTCGGGAACTCAACTCCACTGCGGTCCCGATGGCCCCAGGCTGATGCCCTTCTGCCCCCGGAACCAGACCTGGCGTCGTGGGGCCTCTGCAGCCTCAGCTGCTGTCATCACCCAGAACCAGGTGCATTTGCCTCACCGGTGCCAGCATTATGGAAGCCCCCAACCGAGCCTGTTCCCACACACCGCTCCCCTCTAACTGAGGTCCGTGCGCTCGCGTCTGATGGATGGAGTCTGTCTGCATCCCAGCGGCAAGGGAGGCTGGAAACTGGGATTCTGACTTTGAGAAGTCAAGCCTCACAGCAAGGGACTTCCTCAGACACAGACAGGTTATTCAGAAGACGGGGGCAGCTACAAATGGGCCAAATGTACACTACAGGGGGCACAGGCACCAAAACAAACAAACAAATAAAAAGAATCTTCAAAAACTATTCTTCAACTCGGGCTGGCCCCGTGGCCGAGTGGTTAAGTTCGCGCGCTCTGCGGCAGGTGGCCCAGTGTTTCATTGGTTCGAATCCTGGGCGCGGACATGGCACTGCCCATCAAACCACGCTGAGGCGGCGTCCCACATGCCACAACTAGAAGGACTCACAACGAAGAATACACAACTATGTACTGGGGGTTTTGGGGAGAAAAAGGAAAAAATAAAATCTTAAAAAGAAAAACTATTCTTCACCTAAGCCAAGAACTTGGTTTTTCCATCCAACGCCATTTGGCATCCGTCTTGGTGGAGGTGGTAACATGGTGTCCCATGGGCAGAGTGGGGCAGGACTGGGTGACCAGGCACAGCCAGAGGTGGACAGCCTCCGCCAACCAGTGAGGTCTGGGGGTGGGTTGTATGGGCCAAATGTCCCAGTCACCATGCTTTTGTGGCTCCTAGTGGCTCCGGCTTTGAACCCAGTAAAAGTCCTAATAGTGCAGTTTCTCCAGTGGTGCCAGACTGCCGCCGGAGAGAAATAATAATAAAAATGATCATCGTCAGAATTTGCATTGTGCTCAGCCCTGAACCACACACTTTAAATCTTTTATCTCTAAATACTCACGGGACCCCTGCGAGGGAGGTTGATTGCTCTCCCCACTTGACAGGTGAGGACACTGATGCACAGAGAGGCGAAGTAAATCACGCAGCTAGTACGAGGAGCCTGGATTTGAACCCGGGTCCTTAGCCACTACATGGTGCTGTTGCTTTACAAGCTGTGGACATGAATTCTCAGTCTCGCTCCCAACCTAGCCGCATCTACCATCAGATAAAGGCCACAGGGGTCACACGAATTATTCACAAGGTCCAATGACTAATGACAAGACTAGGTTTATAGGGAAAATGGTTGTCCCCGAAGGACAAGGCATGTCAACTACTCCAGGCTTGTGTGTTGTCTCTTCATTCAGACGCTGATTTGATTTTAGAAAAGAATTTGCAGTAGGTTCTAAGAAAGCAAAACATAAAATTTTTAAAATATATCCAAAAGCCCCAGGAGAGTGGTTAAGAAAATATCAAGACAAAGATAAAGTTAGGGTGCAGCTAGGTGAGCCGGGGGGGCCTGCCAGAGGGACCGAGTGGAGCTGCCGATTCGCTTTTGAGATTCCTCTCTGCACAGTGAAAAGAGACATCCAGTCAGCTACCTGAGCCACACACGTTTTCCAGTCTCCCTGCTCCTGCCAGTGTCTTTCCAGGTCAGAAGTCCTGCTTTTAGTCTCTTCTCCTGGGGAACCCCCTCCTGCTCTCTCCCGTCCTGTCCTCATTTTCCTTGCCCTTCCCTGGGTTTATTTTCAGCTGCCTTCTCTTTCTGAAGCTGCAGGGGCTGCACAAAAGAGGCCAGCTTCCAGCCTTGCAGCCTCCTCCCGGCTTTGGGTAAACAGGCTGGTCTCAGCGGCACCCTGTGCTGCCCAGCCTGCCTTCCTGGCTGGGCCTGGGCGGGCAGTCAGGTCTGGAAGCCAGTGTAGAAGGAGGCCTGTGCCTTGAAGCAGCCACCGAGGGCTGGAGCGGAGCGCTGGTCTCTCCTTCAGAGCTGAGGGACTGCTCTGACCTCCCTCGTTTCTCCTGGCTCCTGTATAATCAGCTTTTCCATTATCTTGCAGCAAAGCCCTCCCAGCATCACATTAATTGCCTATAACTACAGCTGGGTGGTTCATTTATTCTTTCTAATTTGGAGGATCCAAATGGTTTAACCCCCGTCTTTCTTTTAAAAGCTTCAGGGGTTTTGTAAACTTTGGCGGTACTACAGCCAAAGTGGCCAGATGCACGCTGACACACGTCCAAGCAAAGGTGCACCATCGCACAAACCATCGTGCACGCAGGGTGGGAGTGGGGGAGGAGGGTAATGTGATCTGAGGGACTGGTATGCAAGCAGACCACGTCCATCACCACCCACACCTCCGACACCAGCGACACCAACACATCCCTCACTGTCACCACCTCCACCTCCATCACCATCACCTCCACTATCGCCACTTTCACTACCACCACTTCTACCTTCATCATCACCTCCACCACCGCCACCACCACCACCACCACCACTAGTCAGCCAGGAATCTAAAATCCCACCATTGCAGCTTTATTCCTTTGGCTTAATCATTGCTTTCTTCAGCCATTCTCTTTGAAACCACTACCTCAGTGTGACGTATTGACACTCAGACCTGCTTTTCTCAATGAATAAATGTCCCTAGCAGTGACAGCCAGATGCTGAGAGGAGGCCTCTCAAAATAGGAGGATGGTCGGAAGATGAGTGAGTGAGTGTGTGTGGGTGTGCATGCACCCACATGCATGTCTTATCAGTTAAATAATGAACAAAGAAATGTGAAAAAAGAAGGCTGCTGAGCCCTCTGCAACAATGTCACAGTTCTTATTATTTATTTAATTTATTTTTTAAATTTTTTTTTGAAGAAGATTAGCCCTGAGCTAACATCTGCCACCAATCCTCCTCTTTTTGCTGAGGAAGACTGGCCCTGAGATAACTAACATCCGTGCCCATCTTCCTCTACTTTCTATGTGGGATGCCACCACAGCATGGCTTGACAAGCAGTGCGTAGGTCTGCACCCAGGATCAGACTGGCCAACCCACGGTCGCCAAAGCAGAACCTGCGAACTTCACTGCTGTGCCACTGGGCCTGCCCCAGAGCTCTTATTGTTTACATGTTTCAATCTTAACAGCAGATCGTAAGTTTCTGTCTTAGGGAGCAGGTCATAAAAACTGGTTTATACTGAAGAAGAGTGGTTCTCAAACTTTATGGTGCAAGAGAATCACCTGGAAGGCATGTTGAAGCAGAGATTGCTGAGCCCCGCCCGCCAGAGAGTCCCACTCAGCAGTGGGGTGGGCATGGTAATTTGCATTTCCAACAGGTTCCCCCCGCGCTGGCGCTGCTGCTGGTTCTGGAATCACACCTGAGAATCGGTACAGTAGGTTAACACACACCCACACTCAAATGGCTCACACATACGCACACACACCCCACAAACACATACAGAAACATTTGCACAATGGATTGACCATTTTTTATGTAAAAATCCTTGTCAAAGCAGAGCTTCAAGAAAGTGAAGAAATAAAATAAAACAGAGAGAGAAAAACATATTAAAATCGTTTAACCAGCTGGGAAAAGTAGTGGGGTAATACAATGGGAGCCTAGGGATGTGAATTTGGAGAACTTACATAGAAAATAGGAAGTTTCGAGGTAAAAGAAACATAACCTACCCTAGGTGGGGCCGGAGCAATTCCAGAACAGAGGGAACATGGAGGCCAAATCGTGAATGAGCTGATCCACCGGACACGGAGCGATTTCTGCCCAAGGAAAGGGGCTGAGGGATGAAGAGCTCAAGGGCAGAAAGCCAGCATGGGGCTTGTAGGCCGGGTTAGCAGCCTTACACAACGTTGATGCTGCCCACACCTGCTTTCAGACACAGCAAATGCCCCCAGGGAAGAGGCCAGCAGCCGAGGGGGGCAGCTGAGGCGGTGGGAGGCGAGGACCCGGGTCACAAGCCAGAGCTTGTTCCAACCAGCCCTGGCTGGGCCCCTCTGAGAGTCCGGCAGCCTCACCCACGAACTGCCAGCCTCGCGCGCGCCTGGCGGGGTGGTTGTGAGGATTGCATGAGATGAGACACGCTCAACTGCTCTGTGTGGCTCACAGAGCCCTTCTCACTGAAGGACAGAAACGCAGGCGATATGGCCAACTCCAGGGAAGAAGAGACGGCCTGAAGTTTTATGTAGCTTGTTCCTTTGTCTCAGACTTGAGTCCTGATGGAAAGGTCATTCAAAAAAGTTAAGAAAACTTGGGAAAAGACGCATCAAACCCAAATGGCCAGAAACGCCGCTTGGATCACAAAGAGGCAGTGAGAGGTGGGCCCCTCCGTCGGGCACGGCCGGGAGGGGTCGAGAGGAAGAGCCGGTAAGGGACGAGCTCAGGAGCGGCGGGCTGGACCGCGGCCTCGTCTAGGGGGACACAGAGCCTCAGCCTTCGAGGGCCTCCGTGGGGCGCTGTCAGTCCCCGGGGCCTGGGGGGACGCGTTGGGGGTCCAGGAGGCGGACACGTCCCTGGGGCGCTGGGTGTGTGTGTGTGTGTGTGTGTGTGAGTGACAGTCTGCCCACGTGGTGTGGCCACGCCTCTAGGCCGCGGGGTCTGTGAGAGGTGCCGTGGGGTCCCCCAGGAGCCGGGGATGGCCGGGGGTCTAGGGAAGGAGGCGGAAGAAGGAAAGAAAGCAACGCCCCCGGGCGCACCCCGGTGGGGAGACTTCATTTCCGCCCATTTCGTGGACGAGCAAGCGCGGCTGGGGAGCCGGGCGCCCCGTCCCGTCTGCGACGATGCGGACCGTGGTGGCGCCGCCCCTCGCCCTGGCCCCCACGCCGGCGCCCCGATGCTCCCGCGCCCGTCCTCGCACAGACGGCCACGCGCGGCGGCCCAGGGACGCGGGCTCGGCCGCCCTCTGCTGGGCGAAGCGTGAATTGCAGCCTCCTGTCGGTCCCTCCGTGTCCGAGTCCGTCCCGTCCCGTCGCCCCCACCCCCCGCGACGCGCCAGAAATCTACCACAGAAACGTGGGAAATTGTGAAAGGGGGAAATGGTGGGAGTGTCGACTGATCTTAGAAGGAACGGGCCACGTGGTGCAGCAGAGCGCGGGAGAGGGTGACCTCCGCGTCCCATTGGGTCCCCGAGATGGGGACGTTGGCCTGGCATCTACCCCGTGCAGGGTGCTGAGTGCATAGGGGGCACAGGAGGCAGAGGAGCAACACGTGATGAACCCAACGCCTCCAGGAGCTGGTGCGTTATGAGAGGGACAGCGGGGCAAACGAGTGATGCCACCGCCGCTCAGTGGGAGGGGGGCCAGAAGCACAGGGGGCTTCACGAGAAAGGTGACAATGGAAGAGCAGACTCTGGGTCAGCAGGTGGGTGTGGGCAAACAAGAGCGTTGTACCAGTTTCCTGGGGCGGCTTCAAACAACAGAAATTTATTATTTCTCAGAGGAATTGATTCTGGAAGCCGGAAGTCCAAAATCAAGGTGTCAGCAGGGCCATGCTCCCTCAGAAGACCCCAGGAGAGAATCTGTCTCGTGTCTTTCTCTCAGTTTGTGATGTTCCTGAAACCCTTGGTGACACGGCTTGCAGACATGTGCCCCCCAATCTCTGCCTCCGTGGTCACACGGCTGTCGTTCCCCTATGTGCCTGTGTCTCCTCTTCTTAAAAGGCCACCGGTCATATCTGATCACATCCGCAAAGTCCCTATTTCCAAATAAAGTCACAGTCACAGGTTATTGGGTTAGGACTTCATCTTTTCGGGGCACAGGATTCCACCCAACCCGGCATGTTGGGGTGGGCAGGAAAGTTCACAGGGACCTTTGGACTTCATTCCAGACGCAGAGAGAGCTGGAGAGATCTTGATGATGTAGTCTAGTCTAAGAGACCCCAGCAGGCGGGACCCCTGGCTGGAGAAATCCACTAGGGTGGTGCGGGCTGTGATTCTGGAGACAGGCAGTGGGGGCATTTCTGCTTCTCCAGGAGGGGTCTTAGATCACCCAATATACTGTAGGCAATGGTTTTTATTCTCAGAATTAAAAAAAAAATAACTCCATCTCTTTTTCTGGTTGGAAGAGTAATCCATGCTCATTGGAAAAAAAATCAGACAGAAGAATAAAAAGAAGATTTTAAAAATCACCCAAACCTCAGCACCCAGTGACAGCTGCGTGGAAATAGATGTGTATGTATATGTATATACATAAATGATTCGATGACACTGTTCACAGTGAGAATAATGCCTCATAGCCAACCTTTCTGGAGCTCTGACTTTGCTAGAGCGTTATAAATTCAGTTTTGTAGATTTCTTTTAAGGGAGCTGGTTATCCCTCTGAATTTGACCTGCCTTTAGGACCTGTTGCCTCTGCAAACGGCACGTGCTGTGCACATGTGGCCCAGAAGACGAGGGAAGTCCTGTCTCCATAGAGGAGCCCTGGGGAGCTTGGTGGAAGGATGACCCACGACCAGGAGACCCCAGGGAGAAGCAGGAGACACAACCAGGGTGAATGACCAGGAGTGTTGCCAGCAGAACAAGCCTGTGGCTGAAGGAGACGGGGGTATTCTGAGCACAAAGTGTCCAGAAAGGACGGGGATGGGAAAAGCGACCCCAGGTCTAGAGGGTCAGAGGCAGGGCCGAGTTGCATGTGGACAACGGATAGAGGCGAGAGGGTCAGAGCAAAGCTCGTGCGTGACTCGTAAGCTCTGAGGTCCCTTTCCAGGTGTTAGGTGGTGGTCGGGACATGTTACAGGGGCAGCCAGGGGGCTGAAAGGAGCCAGGCGGGATGGGGGAGTTTGTGTGTGTGTGTGTGTGTGTGTGTGTGTGTGTTCCCTGCTTCTTTTGAACAACATTTCTCTTTTCTTCACTTCTCTTCTATTCCATTTCATCCCATATTTCTTTCTATTACAACTGCTAAATACTGACAGCATTAGGTAGTAAACTATCTAATCCCATAGCCTAAAATTTCAAAAAATAAAGGCATGTAACAAAGATGCCCATCATCCCTTCCTCACCCTCCCCAGCCTTAGGTCAGAGGGTGCCTTTGTCCCGACCCTGGGTAGCTCAGGGGTCTCTGCTCAGTTAGAACCAGAACTCCCTTTAGAGTTAAACTAATTACAGAGGTAGTAGCCTCAGTTTACCTCTCTGCACTCTCTATCATATCAGCCAGGACGTCCTGTCTTCCTCTGGTCCCTCTTGCGGCGGAAAGAAAAGGAATGACACAGGAATCTGTGTGCTAAAGCGTAAATTCCCCGAGGCTGTTCTTCACTGAGCAGGACTGCCTCCCACTTCGGCTGTGCCCAGCTAGCTAAGAATAACCCCCAGGTTTTAAACAATGCTTGTTAAGGCTTAAGTGAGGCATTGCAAACAGCCACTGCAGGAAGGAACACTGTTTACAAATTGCTTTTCCTTGAAAAGTTTTCTGTTGTGAGTTCCAGCATTACACCGGCCCAGGATCTTTTACAGAAACAGAAATTTAAAAACGTGTCGGTGCACGAAATGTTTTGTGTTGACTTTATCACAAACGCCAAGTCAGGACTTCAGATAACTCCAGAAATAAGAAAGCCACAGTGGGAAGATTTCAACGGTATTTATTTTTATTTATAATTTATACGCCGTCAGCTTCTAAAAAGGATTGGAGGCAGCTTCCAGTAAAAGACATGTGCACATTAAGGTTGCTAAAATGGGAATAGAAACTTGGAAACTCATGCAGAAGGAGGAGGAAGCAGAGAAGCTGATAAAATTACTATGGCTCAATGTTAAACTTCGTGCCGAGCTCTCTGGCAGCTAAAGCGAAGATGGAAACATGAAGACTTGCTGAAGTTTCATTATCTGAGTAAAGAAAATGAAGTTGCAGGCAGTGTATTAGCTCTTGAAGGGACATCAGCGCATCTCTGGGACTGTGTTTTCTTTGGTGACAACTGCAAGGGCCTCTGAGGAAGGTGATGGGAGCCTGAAGCTAGAGGGGCAGGTACAAGGGGGATGCAGTGCACAGCTTCAAGAGTCGGGCACATGGGCTGCAAGAGGCGACAGCCTGGGCCTGGCCTCCTCCCTGGGGCCACCCTGGCCGAAGAGGCCTCCCTGCAAATGCACGGATTTCAGGCTGAAATGTAGGTTGGATGTGCCTTTTAATCCTGGCTGGGACATTCATTAGATGTGCGACCTTGGCCGGGTTATTTCTCCTGGTCTGAGTCCGGGTGACCTTGGGAAGAGTTCCTTCACCTCTCCAGGCCCCAGTGTGCTCCTGTCTCCTGGGCTATTGTGAGGATCAAATGAGTTAATATAGGCAAGTCTTCAGAACAGTTCCTGACATACGGTAAATGCCACACGAGCGCCACTGTTCTTATTATGTTTGGACCAGTGACTCTTCCTCCCTAAGTGGGTCTTATCTAACGCTCCCTCCCAAGGAGACCCCAGAATACGGGATCAGACCCAGAAGTCTCCAGAGGGGGCTTGTGGGGCGGCTGCCAGCAGGACCTGACCCCACCGTCCCTGAACTCGAGTTGATTCCTGCCTTCTCTGATGCTGTTGACAGGAAGGTGGAGTGACCTGTCCATCTCTCGCCCTCACACTAGGACCGGAGAATGGTGTCGGGGTGGATGCTACGCTCCCATCCACAGCCACCGTGCAGTTCAAACAACATCTCACCCTAGAGAGAGGCCGTGGTCCCGCTCAGTTACACCTCTGCAGTTCGCTCTCATTCTGTCTTGTGAAAAAAGAAAAGTTAGGGGGCTGGCCCTGTGGCCGAGTGGTTAAGTCCGCGTGCTCCGCTTCAGCGGCCCAGGGTTTTGCCGGTTCGGATCCTGGGCACAGACATGGCACTGCTCATCAGGCCATGCTGAGGCGGCGTCCCACGTAGCACAACTAGAAGGACCCACAACTAAAAATATGCAACTGTGTACCAGGGGGCTTTGGGGAGAAAAAGGGGAAAAAAAAGAAAAGAAAAGTTAGCACCAATGAGACCTATTAATATGCAACCCACAATCCACATTAAGCCATGCAGGGTGGGATCATACAGCTCAGCAATGTTTCCATGGGTGCTGTGTGATTGTGAAGAATTTTTAAATGTTTATAACAGGGTTTGTCGTGAGGGAGTTTGAGCTGCTGAGAAAATGTTCATTGGCGTATCATGGTACTGAATGGAGACTCTTAATAACAAGCGTGAACAAGGATGAGGTTTGGGAAATGACTGCCCTGGAGCCAGGAAGGAGGCTCCCAGCTGAGGAAAGGGCTCTGGGCAGAACTCTTGGGCAGAACTTGTGTCCCAGAACACAAGCTTCGGAAGAGCAGACGACCCCTCGAGAACAAATCAAAGAATCTTCAGGACAGAGAAACGTGCCCTGAAGGTTGTTGGCACAGCATAAGAAGAGGTCACAAGATGGAATCAGACGCGTTGCATTGCAAAATCACTCATCAACAGGTCCTTGTTCTGAAAGAAAAAAGCAAAAGCCGAGGCTGATTTCACCTGCCAGTCTGCGGCTCACTGAGTCTCCTTTTGGAGAGCTGGGGCTGGTCCTGAGGCAAGATCCGTGCACATGACCCCTGGAGAATGTGTGAAGAGTTTCTGCAGGCGCTGGTGCAGAGCACCCAGAGAAACATGAGAAGTCATCAAAACCCCAAGAACTAGGGGCTGGCCCCGTGGCTGAGTGGTTAAGTTCACGCGCTCCGCTGCAGGCGGCCCAGTGTTTCGTTGGTTCGAGTCCTGGGCGCGGACATGGCACTGCTCATCAAGCCACGCTGAGGCGGCGTCCCACATGCCACAACTAGAAGGACCCACAACGAAGAATATACAACTATGTAACGGCGGGGGGCTTTGGGGAGAAAAAGGAAAAAAAAAAAACCCCAAGAACTATTATCCCTGCCTTGACCTGCCAGCCAAGAGGTTGGGAAGACATCCCCAGGCTGGAGGAAATGTTCCTTTGCTTATGAATAGGATT